CCGGCCTCTCCCTTCCCCCACCCGGGCGCCCGCTCCCCGCCTCCGTCCCACCGTTTCGGCTTCCTCTCTTACTCCTTCCCGCCCCTCCTGTCTTCCCGACCTCGCTAAACTCCACTCGTGGCCCCCGCAGTCTCGCCCGGGCGACCGGCCCTCCGCGACCCCCGGAAAGCGGACGCAAATCAGCCCCGAGGCCGGACGGCCGCCGGGAGCTTCCCTCCTCGTCCCGCCGAGGCGCCCCTCGCCCCCGCCCTGCCCTCCTGGCCTGCTGGGGAGCCCCGGGGGGCGAGGGAGGGGCCTCTCCCCCTGCTCCTGACGGTTTTCCCACAGCGTCCTCCACTTGGGGCCAAAAATAAACGAACTAGCCGCATCGGATTTGCAAAAGCCTTAATGGGCCTGGAGACTTTGAAAAGCGAGTGGCGGGCAGTGGGCGGCCGGGTGCACCCCTGGTCAGTGCTCTCCTGACAGCACCTGAGTTCCTTATTGACACTGTCTGCATGGTTTGTGTGTTTCTGTTTTGTTTCCCTCCCCCTGCAGGGGCTGTTTGCGGGGTGGGGTGGGGGGTTCGCTATGTCGGATGACGATTCGAGGGCCAGCACCAGCTCTTCTTCATCTTCGTCCTCCAACCAGCAAACCGAGAAAGAAACAAACACCCCCAAGAAGAAGGAGAGTAAAGTCAGCATGAGCAAAAACTCCAAGCTCCTCTCCACCAGCGCCAAGAGGTACCGTACTCTTTTTTCCGTAGGCTTCCTATTTTCTGAACTGCCTCTTGCTTGCACTGGTCTGCCTCCCAATGAGGGTTTATGTGTTCTTAAAAATGAAAAAAGGGCCTTGGAGGTCCTAATTATTTCCTCTATTGCTTCTTCTGTTTTTCTTTTAATCATTGTACACATGCAGCTGTTGAGGCTTGCCTCTCCCATTTCTTGCTGAAGTTTGTAGTTCCTTAACTTTTATAAGTGACCCCCAAATCTGATTTCAGATTACTTGTCCTATTAGTCACTGATCTGTGACCCCACCCTAAGATTGTCATCCCACTTCTTAATTACTACCTGCCCAGTCAACTCATATCAAAATGAATCCTAGGACCATCTTACTTCCTCCTCACCTGTTGCACGATGATCTTTTTTGAAGAGAGCTTTCTCCACAAGTTGTGTAGGAATAAGTAACCCAATGATAATTAGCGGGTACAAAATATTGTAGATAAAAACAGAAGTTCTATAGTGGAATTTAAAGAGATTTTTCTGATTTGGAGAGTTGAGGTGAATGAATCAATAAAAGATTGTAAAATGGTTATTCTAGGTTCTGTTTGGGATTCTCTTTGAGAACTTCAGTGTACCAAATTTCAGAGAGACGCTTTTTTTCTTTTTTAAAGATGACTGGTAAGGGTATCTTAACCCTCGACTTGGTGGTGTCAGCACCACGCTCTCCCAAGTGACCTAATCGGCCATCCCTATATAGGGATCCGAACCCGTGCCCTTGGTGTTATCAGCACCACACTCTCCCAAGTGAGCCACTGGCCGGCCCTGGGAGACTCTTTTTTTCCATGCTATTTGCTCTCCTATTATGCCGTAAAAATGTTACTTCACCTTTTTTTCAATTGAATTCCAGCAGTGGCTCTTTTTCCTTATTCTTTTCCTTATGTCTCTGGAAATAGCTATTTTCTATCTCCTTTTTCCTTCAGTAATATCCTCTGATCCCCATGACCCTTAAAATAATCTATAGCAGATTTTTGGGAACCCCCAGACGCCCTTTCATAAATCCTTCTGCTTTCAGTTAGATAGCTGTTAAACTTTAAAAGAGGCAAGCCAGGAAGATAGCGAGGAATCCAAAGGATGGGTTAGATAGGGATAACTTTCTTAAAAGAATTTAAAATAAAATGGAACATGAGGCTTTCTACCTCTCTGCTGGATAGAGAGCTTGGAACTCGGAGTTTGAGAGTTTTTTCTGTCATGCTCCCAGTCTTGAAATTTGAAAATTTGGTGAAGTGATTTGGTGACCTAATCATGAGCTGATGAAGGAGTGACTTTAGCTTATTTTAAGTAGTATGGAGGTCCTGAGTTAAGTGGCAAGTTGCCTCAGCAAGATTGTCCCCATTTTCAGAGGGTAGGTTTGATACTATCTCAGCTTCCCAGGAGTGCTAACTGGCCCTCATTGATTCACCCTGTGCTGGTTCTCCCAGTACCTGGCATCCACCCTGCCCACTTAGTGTTGTCCGTTCCCCACTCCCCCACACCCCCCAATGCCTCTAGGCTCCCTGATCCTCACTCACCTTTTGGCCTGACCTGCCCAAGGCAAGGTATTTGCTTTAGGTCATCAGTATTTTTATATTTTGCTGTATATCTCTGGTGTACATGGATATATTTGGGGGTAGAGACACAGGTATGAAATAGTCTTTGTGTCAGTGAATTACAGGAAGGGGTTTTTCAATAGACAGATTTGTCCATTTATGAAAAACCCCTCCCTGTAATTCACTGTATGCTAAGGAAGTTAAAAACTTACTTGGAAATGGTGGCTGGGAAAGAAATGGTATGTGTAGAAAATTAAAGGTGGTAAGCTACAAATTGTAATTTTACCTATAAGTTAACGTCAGGTTTGTTTGGGTTTTTTTTCCTGTGAATTTAGCTCCCAGGATATCTTGCTGAAAGAGTGGCTGTTAGTGTTAAATAGAAGAGGTTAAATAGAAAAGGTAAAAAAGAGAGGGACAGTGTATCCAGGAAAGAGTAAGAGGGGAAAATTGATGTTAGTGGGACCCTATAGAGGCTGCTCTGTGAAATACATTGATTTGGAAGGTAGGTGTTGCCCACAGAATTGGACGGGGGCACATTTACCAGGAGATGAAGTGAAAAAGAAGACTGAATTGGCAGACTGACAGGTTACTAACTGCATGTTGGAAAGTGGTTTCTAAAGTAAGAGGAAAGCCCCCAGTGAGAGTTGTCTGAACAAGAATTACTCTATGGGACCTATGTATGAGTTACTCTTCTAAATCTTGCCAGTACTCTGGAAATGGTGCAAATGCTGGCTGTTGAGATGAAGAGCATAAAGCTGTCTGGTACCACACTTTTCAGGTATTAGAGAAGTAACTACCTTTTCAGTCAATTTTTTATAGTAGAAAGTTGGCTTGGCAAGGAGAACTGAAGTCAATATGTATTGTTAGATGCGTTGTGCTCAAGGGGAGGACATTTTTGCTTATGTACTTAGGTCTTAAAATACAGTCAATTCTAAAAGATGCGGGTAAAGAATCAGTAAACCTGGGTTCCAAACTTTTAGTTTAACATGCGCAATGAGTCAAACAGCAGGGTCGTGAGTGTCTCAGAACTGCAGTGCTTATTGTTAGCAGTAGAATTTACCTTAGCAGAATACTGATAAAGAGATGTTAATAGAGATTGTGAACAAAACCCCTTTCTAAATACCAGTTTTGTAGGGGACAACGAAATGTCCTCCAAAAGGAAGGTTTAAAGAACTTCCCCAGTCATCGCCCTTAATTTCTTTTTATTTATAACATGGAAAAAACACCACCATCTAAAACCTGTTCCTCCTTGCACATAGCCAGCGCCTTTTCCTACTTTCAGAAAACCTTTGGAAAGAGAAAAGCATCCATTGTGATTCAAATTGCCGCGTGTGTGTGTGCGTGTGGTGTGTGTGCGTGTGGTGTGTGTGTGGTTTTTTTAAACTACAGAGTTGCCTCGTGAGATTTTTAAGTTGTAACATAGCCCCGTAGGGCTTTATATGAGAGGAGGAGGAAAGGTTATGAAAATAGGCACCGTTTAGAAGGTGGAAGAAGCTTAAAGGTCCCCAACTTTGTCCTATTAACTGATGCTCTGAGCGCCTAGGTAAGCAGAAGACAAAGGCCAGGGCTTGGTGTGAACTGCCTGGTGGCTTCTGCCTAGGAGTGGGGGATGGGGCGCTTTGTGAAGACGTGGGTTGGTGCGGGG